CAAAGGCAGACCTATCTTTTTCCCTTCTCTTAGCTGCGAGGTCCTTTAAGCACCTAGGAAGGCTTGATTGGATTGTCTGGGTGCTAGCACCCAGGGCCCTTGTGGCCTGGCAAATTCCCTTGAGACAAAGGATGCTCTATTTGGGAATTTTTTGGGGAGTTCTTTCTGAACCCATATTTTCCCCCTCATCCTTCTGGTGGGATCTCACTGGAGAGATTAATGTTGCTTTAGGGGGAATTTCCTTAGACTTACTGGCATTCAGTCCCAATTCCCATCCCATGGGACTACTAAACTGTAGCCTGGTCTCAGTATAATCTATAGGACCAAGAAAAATTATCACTATCTGTGCTTTCTGTTTGTATTTCTCTGCTCTGTGTCTGTGTAAAAATCTCTGAGTCTGCCACCTTGTAAGATTTAAAATGTAGCCAGCCAGAGAAGAAAAAACTGTACCTGGGCTGGAAAGATTGATGGTCTCAAAGAAAGATTGTTGGCAATAACACAAAACAAAATAAACAAACAAACATAAAAACCTTTTTCTTGCTCTCTACTTCCTTAAACTCTGGTCCGGTTCTGGAGGTGGAGGGACAGACTGAAAAAAGAGGAAGGAGGAAACTTCTCCCTTCAGATCTATCTAAGAGAAAAAGGGTCATTTCATTGATTAAAGAAAGGCAGGTTTCAAGGCTGTACTTTGGAACAGGACTAGCACTTAACCCTTTCCTGGATAACAGAAAGAGAAAAAGTTTGTGTGAGTCGGGATGCAATAAAAAATAATTGAATCTGACTGGAATATCTCACTAGAACTTAGGGGGATCTTACAGACTACAGTTAAGTACTAGTTAATTACAAAATAACTTTTAAATCAGTATGTGTGCTAAAATGGGAAATATGACTAAGTTATGAGACTCCTATTCATTTTTTAAAAAGTCACAGAGGGCTCTGGGTAAATTAATAAGCTACAGGTCCCTTACTGTGGAACCTAGATTTGAACTAAACATAATGATCTAAGACAATTCCAAAGGACTCATGATGAAAAGTTCTTTCCACCTCCAGATAGAAGACTGACACATGTCACTGATTGAAGCATATTTTTTCCCTTCCTTTATTTTTCTTGTCCCCCTTGTACCCTCCCTCCCCCCACCCATGACAAATGTCAAAATATATTTTGCATGACTTCATGTGTATAATGGATATCATTTCTTGCCTTCTCAATAGGTAGAAGGGGTTGAAGAAAGGGAGAGAATTTGGAATTGAAAATAAAAATAATTTTTAAAAAAAGGTGGTTCCAACTGGTGTACTTACTTCTAAGAAGCTTCTTTATACTTAGCTAGGCTGGTCATTAGAAAGCAGGGATAGTCTGTTACCAGGATCATACTTTCAACCTTTCTAGCATGGCAGAACTTGCTAGAGTTGACATTCCAATGGTATGGCCTTCGGGAACTCAGAGTCATCTACATGTCATGATGAATCATTGTTGTAGAACTTTGTGGAGTATAGAAATCATCCTCCTGTCCTCCAACCCAAGGTTATTAAAATGAATGACGGAATCAATGGTTTATTAAGTACTTACAATGTGCAAAGAAATGTCTAAGTGCTGGGGGATACAAATAAAGCAAGACAGTCCTTGCCCACAAGTTGCTCACATTCTGATGTGGGAAACAACACATAGGGAAGCTTTCAGTTATAAGTCAGATGAAAAGGTCCTATGGTCCTAAGGGTACAGAGGCAAAGTAGATGGCAATGCCTCTTGTTAATGCCATCTCCACTGATAAAACCATATCAGTTTCTGATGCTGAACTATTTGACAGAGCCAAGGACTTTGGTGGCAAGAACTTTCTTTTCTGGGTCTTCACTAGTTGTGTCTGGATCACTTTCAGGAGCAGTTGCCAGGCTGCATTTCCACAGAGGCTACTTCTTAGGATGATGGCTGTAGACACTGGGCTGGAAGCATTGCTAGTCTCAGGGCTCTTGGGCTCAGAGTCAGGGCTGTCTCCATCGGGGTCTAAGGGAAGATGGTGGTGAAGGTGGTAGTGGTGGTTTGACTTGCCTGGCACATGCTGCTTCCTGTCTCTTTTTCGAGGTGCATTGCTGCTTTAGCTAGGCTGGCTTGCCCCACCTGTGGGTGGCAGTTAGTTGGCATTTGGTGGGGAAGGCTGGCCCCTTTTTCATCAGTGTTATTTCCTCAGATGATAGCTGTGAGGGGTAGGATAGAAACAGGACTAGTCCTCTGTGTGGTACTACCATTCTCAGGGGTACTTGTGCCTAGCTGGTTGGCACTTGGTCAGCTGTTGGTGGTGGTGATGAGGAAAGTGGGCTCCTCTACAAAATTTCTCCCTCAGTGATGGCTGCACGAACTGGGCTAGAAGCAGGTCTGGTGGTCTGGGGAACAATGGCTATAATAATAATAAATAATAATAATAAAAGCTGTCATTTACCTAGGAAGAAAATCTTGGAGATTTTGTTTCTGAGGCCAACTTGAATTTAAAATCTACTGAACTGAACAGGTCATTGAAGATATTTACATGATGGGTGAAAAAAGTTTCAAATCAAGGTATTATTTAAGCTGTTTTTCAGCTTTCTGGAACTCTGATTCCTGACCCCCAAGATTATCTCCACTTGATCTTTTGTTTATTTGTAGTTTGTATGTAGTTGTTTGCGAGTCTCATTAATAATAGATAAGATTTATACAGCACTTAAAGGTTTACAAATCACTTTACAAATATCTCATTTTATCCTTACAAAAACCCTGGTCCTATGTTATCTCCATTTTACAGATGAATATGAATTCCTCCTCTAGGCAGGGACCCTGTGTTTTTTTTTTTTATCTCCATTGCTGAGCACGGTGCCTGACACATAGTAAGTGCTTAATACATACGTGACTGACTGAGCTCTGGGGGGTTACCCATTTGCCGTGGAAAAATTAGAGAAAGGTTCTTGGAAGAGGTGGCATTAAAACAAACAAACAAAAACACACTACAATTAAACCCCTATGGAGGGGTCGAAAAGCTCCTTCCATATACTGGCATCCAACTCCTTGAATTTTTGAGATAGAAGACAGCTTAAGTCACATAGGCGAACTGCCCTCATTTAACAAAAGAGGGAATTGAAAGTGGGTGAGTTAAACTAGATTTACGGATTTATCCGTTCAAGCTGTCAAGAGTGATTTTCCTAAAGCATCACCCCTCTCTACTCAATAAACTCCTGTGGCTCCCTATTACCCTTAAGACCAAATATAAAATCCTCTTAGCATTGACAGTCCTTCATCAGTTTTCTTTCACCTTAGACGACCCCCCTCTTGGATCCAGTGACATCCTGGCACCAGACACCCCACTCTGGGCTGAGGCATTTACACTGGCTGTCTCCCATGCCTGGAATGCCCTCCCTCCTCATCTCTGCCTTCCAGTGTCCCTGGCTTCCTTCACAACCCAATATAAAGCTCCCCTTCTCCAAGAAGCCCTGCCTCATTCTCCTTTAATTTCTAGGGCCTTCCAAGATTAGTTTGAATTTATCCTGTGTATAGCTTGCTAGTACACAGTTGTTTGTGTGGTGTCACTTGACTGTGAGCTACCTGAGGGCAGGGCCCGTGTTTTGTCTCTCTAGGTAACCTCAAGGCTTAGCACAGGGCCTGGCACATAGTAGGCACTTAATTAATACTGCCTGGCTGACTATCCCAAAGGGCAAAGCCTAGCTTCTTATTTCTCGGTCTAGGGCTCTTCATGTTACAGAGCCCAAACCAGGGTGGGGGGGGGAGGCTGGAGAAGAAGCGGAACACCCCGTCCACCTCCATCCTCGTACACAGACCCCAGCCAGAGGTAGCAGACTAAAGGGGGGCGCGGGGAATGAGGGAGGCGCACTTCCGCATGGCGTTCCCAGAGAACTCGGAGGGGGCGGGGGGAGCGCGGGGCGCGAGCTCGCTCCGGGCGAACGCCCTCCTCCCCAGTCCCGGCGGAGGAGGGACGACCCGCGGGGTAAGGGAGGGCCTGGGTAAGGACCACGCCACGCGCGCCGGCGCCCGCGGAGGGGGCGGGTAGAGGGAGCGCGCACGCTCCGCCTCCTCCCCCCTCCGCACGTTCCTCCCCCTCGCCCTGCGATACGCCGAGCGCTCATCATCCGAGGACTTTGGCCCAGAGTAACCCCGCTCGCGTGACCTTTCCCCTCCATTCCGCATCTCCCGCGAGCCCGCGGGGCAGGGTGGCTGTTGGGTTCTCGTTCCCCCCCCCCCGCACTTTCCCCCGCCCCCACCCTGCCCCCCTTCCCCAACAGTGCTTCCAGTCATGGCGGCGTTCAGCAAGTCCATCCCTCACAACTGCTATGAAATCGGCCACACTTGGCACCCGTCCTGCGGGGTCTCCTTCATCCAGATCACCAGGGGCGCCCTGGAGGAGTCCTTGAAGATCTATGCGCCCCTGTACCTGGTGAGAGAGCCCCGCTCCCGGACCTGGCTCCGGCCCCCCTTCCTCTGGCCTGGCGTAGGGTGGGCCGGACCGGGCTGGTGGAGGGTGGAGGGGCCGAGCTGGGGATGACGCCCCTCGCCCGAGGGTCCGCCCCCCGCCCCGAAGCTCGGGAGCGAGCAGGCCGGCCGAGCTGTCATTCATCCCCGCAGCTGGGCATGAGGAAGGGGAGAGAAAGGCTGGGGGCGTGGGGCTGAGCTCTGAGCTGCCCAAAATAAATCGTGACCCTTGGACCCAGGTCTGTGAGGGTTCAGGTCATATGACTTGGTGTATCTCCCGTAGGAGCCAGGTCTCTATCTTTTAAAAGGTGTGAGTGAGCGTTTGACCCCCTGCCTGTTAAATAGTGTCAGTTGTACCTACCAGTGGATTCAGGTGTGTGTCTTTTAAATGGAATGAAAGTTGGAGCTCCTGCCTTTTCGATAGTATGAATTGCTGTTCCTACTGTAAGTGAAGGTTTAGGCCCTTGCTTTTTAAATAGTGTGAATTGCTGAACCTACCTTGGGTCAGCTTTATGTCTTTTAAATAGTCTTAAGTGAGGGTTTAGGTCCTTACCTGTGGGTGTATCCTGGGATTGTGGTCGGTGTCTTTTAAATGGTGTTTGTAAGGCTTCAGGTCTGTCTTTTAAATAGTGTTAATTGCTGTATCTAACCCGAGATCAAGGTTCTTGGCTTTTAAATAGTGGGAGAGTTTAGGTCCTTGCTTTTTAAATCGTGTGAATTGCTGGATCTACCCTTAGGCAGGTCCTTGGCTTTTCAATAGTGAAGGTTTAGTTCCTTGCCTTTTAAATAGTTTGAGTTGCTGTGCTTACTTTTGGATCCTGTGTCTTTTAAATCGTACTTTTGTTTTCGTTTTTGCTGGTTGTGAGAGAGAGGTGGTGTTCAGTGGGTTCAGGGAAGCTCTGAGAAGGATTAAGAATTCCAGCTTGGTGTTACGGAGAGTGCTGAACTTGCAGTCATGGGACTTGAGTCCAGATTCCATTTTTGTCACCTTACTACCTGTGTGACCTTGGGCAAGTCACTTCACCTCAGTGGGCATCTGTTTCCTATCTGTAAAACAAGGAAGATGGATTCCATGACCTCTGAGGACCCTTCCTATTCTAGATCTGTATTTGAGGTCTTTGACTTTTTGTAGTGTGTGAGTGTCGGGTCTACCCTGGCATCTTGGCCCATGCTTTTTAGATATTGTATATGAGGGTTAAGGTTAGGACCATGCCATGTTTTTGTTTTTGCTTCCTGTGAGAGGTAGTTTTCAAGGGATGCCAGGAGGCTTTGAGAAGGGGTAAGCATCCTAGTCTGGTTGGTGCTGCTGGGGAAAGAGTGCTGAACTTAGCTGAATTCTAGCGCTGGCATTTACTATCTGTGTGACTTTGGACAAGTGACTCCATCTCTGTGGACCTTATTTTCCTCATCTGCAAAATGAAGAAGTTAGATAGTTGACCTCTGATAACTTCTAGTTCTAGATCTGTAATCCTGGGTTTTTTGCTTTTTCTTTCTCCAAGTGATTTCCTAAGGCCACTTTTGCTAGGCAGCTTAGGAAGATCTCTTCTCTTAGCTGACTCACAGGTTTGTGGTGCTTGGGAATTTTGCAATGATTTCTCCAAATTCACAGACGAGACCAGTGTGTTCCTTCTCCTGAAAGTTGTTCAGGAGGTTTTTCTTGGTGTTATGAAGGATTTATTCAGAATTCAAAAGTGCTTCTTGTAGGGGCAGGCCAGTTTAAAAAATTGAACATCCAGAAATTCATATGAATATTAATTTCACATGAAAAACACAATTTAAAAAGTACTCAAACATGAAAGTTCCTCTTTTTCCCTCACATGTTACCTTCCTTAGTATTAAAGTTCTTTCTAAAAGAAATGTAAGTATTATTTCTTCACTTCTAATGTCTTATGTTCTTTTTTTTTTTTTGGCGAGGCAATGGGGTTAAGTGACTTGCCCATGGTCACACAGCTAGTAAATGTTATGTATCTGAGTCCAAATTTGAACTCAGGTCCTTCTGACTCTGGGGTGCACCACCTAGCTGCCCCTCATTGCTCTTTTTTTTTTCCTGTATTCTTTAAAGTAGTGTAAAACATTAATTGGGTTGAATACTAACTCCCTGTGAATTCACTTGTATGTGGTGGTTTGGTATAATGGAAAGAGCACTAGGGCTTGAAATCAAAGGATCCTGGTTTCGGCTTCATCTTTGCCACTTACTGCATGTATGACTTAGAGGAAGTCGCTTAATTTATCTGCACCTTGGTTTTCTCATTTGCAGATTGAGTTTGTTACCTTTATAATTCCTGATCCCATGAATGATTCACTTCAACAACACTTAGTGAACTTTGATGAGCCTAGGCCTTGTAGGTATGCTTATTAGAACAGTATTCCTTTTCATAAGAACTTAAAATCCAATGGGATAGGGGATAAGATATGTTCACAAATAAGTGTAATACAGAGTAGAAATGGAATGTGAAATTGTGTAAGAGAGGAGTAAAGTACTATTGAAATAGGAAAAATTTCTAACTCTGAAGGATCAAGGGAGGCTTCAGGGATGAAGTAGCATTTGACTTGGAATGTCAGTTGTCAGAGATGTTGGGGTGTAGGCAAAGGCATGAAGGAAAGAAGTATTTGAGGAATGACAAGTAGTCTGATTGATGGAAGTCTAAGATAAAAGTGAATAAGGTGAGATAAGGTTGGAAAAGGAGGAATTATGTTACAGACTCTTGAGTCTGAGGTCCTGGGTTTAAGCTCCAACCTCTTTAAACTACTTTACTGTGAGACCGGACTAGTCACTCTGCCTCCCTCAGCCAAATATTTTTTTTTTATCTGTACAATAAAAAGGTTTGACTAGATGGTCTTTGAGATTACTTCAAATTCTAGATCTATGATCCTCTGGTAAGGTTAGAGCCAAGTAACTATCATGAAAGTTTTTTTTGAGAAATTTTTGAATGATGGGAGTTTGTTCAGTAGGCAAAGGGGAATTGGAATTAGCACACTAACCTATATGTGTGAATTTACATAGTTTAATTAGTATATGGTTATGTTAGACTCCATTTACCCAAAACAGAGCTCATCTTTTCTCTCCACACTCCTCTCCATAGAGCTGTTTCTCCCATAATTTTGTAGTTACTTCTCTATATACCTGTTGTTTACTTTAAATAGAATGTAAGCTCATTGAGAACAAGACCTGTTTGTGTGTGTGTATTTGTATTTGTATTCTCAGTACCTAGCATAGTGCCTTAGTAGGTGCTTAATAAACATTTGATAAATTAATAGTTTTTTTCTGGGGGGACAGTTTCCAAGTAATTTTATTCAGAATTTTGTGTTTTCTTTTTCTGAATCAATAAATGATATTCAAAACAACAAAAATGACTACTTCTCTCCTGGTCCTCTTATCTGGAGAGGAGCCAGCCTACTGAGCCTTTTTATCCCAGTTGACTAATTTTGAACAGAAACTGAGAGAGAGTTGAGTGTTCAGAGTCATGGACTCTTTCAGTTACCTTTTGGGAGGAAGTATTTGGCTGCTGGGAATAGAGGACAGATTGGCTGAAACACTGAAATGTTGATTAGTATTTTGGAGGAAGAAAAGCTCTTGATGAGACATAAGCCTGCTACAAAGAAAAGAGTACGTAAAGGTTCATAGCTCCTTTTGCCTCAAAAAGTAACATTTATTCAAAGTTTTTAAAAAAGGAGAAAATGACAAAAGTATTCATCCCTTGTTCTTCCCTCCCTTCTAGTTCCCTCTCCTCTCATCACAGAGAGCAGAACCTTGGGAGAGATCAGATGGAGAAGCCCTTCAGATGAGGTTAGCCATATTGAAAGGTGCCTCCTCAGTGGAGGTATTTTAGAAGGTCTTGATGTCCTGCAAGAGTCTCCTGTCCTCTGTGTCCATGTTGATAGGCATCTCCTAATGAGGAAAGTAACCTTCACAGCCAATTCTGTGAATATAATTCTGGTTGGTGGGAAGGTCATAGCAATCAAAGATACCTGTTTGCATATCTGTGCCTCTAGACATCTTTTAGTTGTTTAGTTGGTGGGGTAAGTAGGTGGCCCAGTGGATAGCGTTGCTGGGCCTGGAGTCAAGAAGACACATCCTGATTTCAAATCTGGTCTCAGACACTTACTAGCTGTGTGGCCCTGGGCAAGTCTCTTAACTGTGTTTGACTCAGTTTCCTCATCTGTAAAATGAGCTGGAGAAGGAAATGGCAAACCATTTGTCAAGAAAACCCCAAGATGGGGTCATGGAGAGTCAGACACTGCTGAAAAAGAACGATAACATTTCAAACAGATCATACAACTTCCATCTTTTTTGTTCTACATTTACTGATGAATGCTTCCCACTGTCGTCTATTCTTTCTTGACTAGGATCCTTTTAAGATCCCTCATAAACTTTTTGGTCATTCGTAGCACACTGTGAGCGGTGAGTGATTCCAGAGACTTGCTACTGAGTTTCTGGAATGTGTCAAAGGCCTGGTCCTTCAAACCATAGCTTAACATTTAATCAACTTTATCCAGTATAGACATCTCTTGATGTATCTAGGTTATATGCTTTTCAGATTAAGCATGTCAGAGACATGGGCTTGGGTGCCCATGATGATGTGGGAAGTTTCTGTCTACAAGTTCTGAACCTTAGCCCAATGTTTGCTCCTCTAGTGAAGGCATGGAATGAGGCATCCGTGTAGTCTGCTATTTTCATCACTGTATTTTGGATCTGTGGGGCTAGCTCTGTAGTGAATGCCAAAACAGGGTTTTTATGGCTTTTAAGTCCAGTTCAATCTGTTGGAAAGTGGAAAAGGGAGAGGAAACAGTCTTTCCAGTCCCAGACTGAGCTTGAGCAATCATATCATAACCCTTGAAAGAAGGAAAAATTGCGTTTTGCTAAATAGCAAGATGGCTTTTCCAAAATCATAACTGTATAAATATATATGCCACAAAGAAAAGGTTTTGAGAGATTCATATCAAAGCTATTCACAGTTTCATTCCAGTTTCTCCTGATGTCACCATCAGGGCCTATTCCTTCAGGACTGTTGTGCCTGAATCAGGAATCCTAACTAGCAGACACAATGTTGGGAACTAGCATAATAATAATTTGTATAACTGTTTGATCTGTGCTCTCATTCATGTGGGTACTTAGATACCTTGATTGATGTTGATATTCTCTTCAGTGGTGCAGATCCCAGTCATCTAAGCCTTCTGATAATAATAGTAACAACAACAACAATGATGGGTGATGTTTTTTATAGGGCTTTAAGGTTTGCAAAATCATTTCCATATATTATTTCATTTGAGTCATCCTAATCATCCTGTGAAGTGTCTTTTGTGATTCTTGACCATATCCATCCAACATATTGGGGGGCCTTCTAAATGTCTCGATGTTGCGCAGATGCCTGTTGGCATCCTATAGACCATGCCTGTTGTTTATTCATCACACTTAATACATGACTGACTCACATTGTTTTCTGGTATTTTTGTATCTCTCTCTGATAGCATCCTTCATCCTGTTGTTTCAGTACAGTTTATCATTGGTAATATGTTGCACTCTATTCACTCCTGCCATGTAGCTCTCCATTGTCTTTTGGGTGGTGCCCAGCTTAATTCTTTAAAGAAAGTGGTTTTCCATGGTGAATGGATGAAGTCTAGGGGTTGTCCATTCAGTTAATCAGAGGGATCATTGAACAGTTATTTCTTCAAGGAATCTTATGTGATTTTGACATGTATATGGGAAGTACTTTGTTCGTAGATACCCTCTAAGGTAGTGTTTTACTTTAAGAAATCAAATTCCTTTATTATAGTCAACAAACAATAAACATAATGAGATCTTGTATTTTTCATTTTATTCTCCCAA